GCCGCTCCCCCGGCCCCGCCGCTGAAATTTTATACCTCCCTCCCATGACGTCCCCGGGACGGGGCTCGGGGCGGGGAAGCGAGCTCCAAGCCCGGCCTTCGCCCGCGCCGGCCCCTCGCTAATGGCTCCGGCAGCCGCGAGGCCCCCGCCGCCCCCCCGACCCCGCCGCCGCCCCTCGCGCCGCCGGGGCCGCCAGGCCCCGCGCGCCCCGGGCCCCTCCGCGCAGGGCGGCCCCGCGCGCCCTCCGACGTGGCCGCCGCACCGCCCCGGCGGCGGCGCGCGGGCGCCCCCTACTGGAGGTCGCGGGCGGGTCCTTCGCGGTGGTCCGGGTGGCGCGGGGAGGCCCCTCCCGCTTCCAGCTGCGAAATCGCATTAAAAGCCGCTAAAAATACCCCGAATACTTTCCTGATGTGGTTTCTTTCCGGGGGAGGGAGGGAGGGAGGGAGGCGGCGGGGCCCGGGCGCCGCGCTGCGGATGGGGGCTGCGGCGGGGCTGGCGGCCGTGCGTGGCCCCGCGGGCACAGTGACAGTGTCGGGCAGGGTCAGGGTCAGGGCAATGCCCCGCGGCCCGGAAGGCAGGTGACCAGAGAGCCCTGCGGTGTCCCTTTCACGGCAGCCCTCGCTGAGGGGAAGGGGCTGCTGCGGCACCCGCCGCCCTCGGAGGGAGACACAGCGGGAGACACAGCACCGGCCCCAGCCGGGGTCACCACCCATAACCCGGGCCTGTTCGGGCCCCTCTCCCGGGGCGTGTTCTCACCACGGCCACCCACCACACCGGCCTCCCTCCTCCATGCCCTGCCCGCGCCCGCTGCGCTGAACACCATGGAGGTGTTCCCAGCCCCTGGAGCAAGCGAGAGCCCTTATGCCCTCACTTGGACCCTGCCCCAGGTGAGCAGGGACTCTCGGCCCCACTCCCCAGCACTTCTCCTGGGGCCAGCAGAGAGGCAGCCCCTGAGCCAGCGAGGCTCCTGGGGCCAGGTGGCAGCTTTGTGCCTTCCCAACCATGGGAGCTGCTCGAAGCACTGTCAGTGGTCTGGTGATGTGTTGGGAAAGTGGGGCAGGGACAGCTGCTGCGAGGCTGTGGGCGACGTGGGAGCTGGGCAGAACTCTCTGCGGAAGCAAGTCCTGGATCTTCATGCTCTGGGAGAGGTGGGCCCCAGGGGCATGTGGCCCCTGAGCCTGGAGCGGTGGTGTCCAGCAACAGCACAGCTGGAAACACCAGGCACAGCTGCAGGGAGCCTTCCCTCGCCTACATGTTCAGGGGCCTGGGGCAGGGAGAGTACTGCCAGCTCAGAGGCCATTGGCTCACTCAGAGTGTGGAAGAGGTTGACAGGAAATCCATGGGGCAGCTGGGGGTGCTGGATGCCTGCTGAGCCCATTCCCTGCAGCTCTGAGGAGACAAGAGTGGGCTGCTCACTGCTTGTGCTTTGCTTGGGGAAGAGGAATTTGAGCTCCTTGATGGAGCAGACAAAGATGTAACAAGATCTAAGATGATGTCAGGCAAATCACAACTTGGAGTAAGGTGCAAATTCTGAGTTAACAATCTATGGAATATTTTAACATAGATTGGGATGGATGTTTCTAGAGCTCCCTAGGCATTTCCGAAATGAATTTTGGATGCTTTTCCACACTGGGACCTCCTCTGCCCTGCATTAGGTTGGAGGTCGCACTAAATGCAGTAGAACTGATTGCTTTGGACTTCAGCAATCCATTTACTACGGTGCCGCATGGTGAATTATTAGTTAAGATGGAGATAAGTACAAAAATTATAAGAAATTAAGAGAGTTCCCTAGAGGCTGGTCCTGGGCCCAGTTTTTATTAATGATCTTGGCACGCCAAAATAGATGTGCTAATGAAATTGGCTGCTTATCCAAAACTGGGAGGCACTGTCAATACAGGGGAGGACTGGGCGTAAGCAAATTTGAAGGCTGACACAGTAGAAATTGGATGAAATGCAATAGTGCAAAATGTAAGCTTATGTTGTTAATGGCTCCAATCAGATTTTTCTGTTACAACTTGACAGTGGGGACTTACTGCTTGGAAATAATAGCAGATGTAGGTGTGGTGCTGGTTCCTGTATTGGGCCACTCACTTTCTGCTCCAGGTGTTGCTCTGTGGGATGAGAGAGGTGTGGAATCTCTGCAGTCTGACATTCACTGGAACCAACACTGGTGGCTGCAAGTAGCAGTCACTAAGAGGTTGCACATCTTGGACAAGCTGGAATCCAGCTAGGCTGAGGGAGAGCCTGACAGGGCTACTGAATGTGTGAGTGTCATAGGAAATATTTCACACTTGGCAACTCTGGTTGGGGTTTGACAATCTGAGCTGGGGTTGATGTAACCCAAACAGCATCTGTTCTCACGGAGATCGAGACAGGCAAATGCGTGGGCCTTTGCTGCCTGTCAAAGCCCCTTCTACCTTCCATAAGGAGAAACCTCTTGTTTGAAGCTTTGCAATTGTTAGGAGCTTTTGTTCTGGAACCCACAGAAATAACAGAATATTTGCAGTTGTTTCCCTCCTGCAAAACCCCATAGAGATGAGGTAAATATTTCAAGGTGCATGGAGAAAAAACTGCAGAGAAATCAAACTGAGACGCTTGGAGCTGCCAGTGTGCTGCTAGTGTGGAGCAGGCTACGGCAGCAGTTTTTGCTGAGCACTTTGCTTCTCAGTGGAAGCTTACTGTTTTTAATGAATTGGCTCATGTCAAAATCGGGAATCTGGCTGGCCGCCTGACGTGAGGGTTGGGTGAGGAAGAAAGGCACAGCACTGTGTCACTTGTTGCTACTGGAATTGCCCTGCATCCCATAAATCTTACGGCTGCCAGGGAGCTACTTAACAAAACCTTTGGCCACTCTGAATAAGGTGGTCATTGTGCTACCATGTCAGCTTTCCACCATAGCTGCAGCTTTAACTGCACATGTGTGCCCTCTCTCTAAAGGTGGTCTAGGACCAGAAGCATATGGGAGTGCTCAAGTGTGATTGCTTTCCCAGATTCTCATGGCTTTCTCATGGGTAAGAGGACCAGACACAAGCTCTATTCATACATCTGTCCAGTTAAGGGGTAATCAACAGTAAACAGTGCTAGTGGGGGACTCTGTTAGTCCTATTCTGCGTGATCAAGTTTGGGTTGAAACCAGATGGAGAGAGTCCATGCTTAGATGTGAGAACTTGTCTGTGAAAGGAATGCTTGCATAGTTCTTACTTGCTGTTCAGATGAGAGGGGGTGGCAGCAGTGTGATTTATAGTGAGGGCAAAACCAAACAAGTAAGGCAGACTGAGACCTGAGAATACACCTGGAACTGTACACTGGGAAGGAGAAACCCTGGCACCACAGACCTGAACTGGACAGGAAGCAAGCACAAAAAATGGCTTTGGGCAATCACAGCAGCACCAGACATTTGTCCTGTTACGTGGCTCCTTCTCAGTTGAGTGGAGTTGCTCTAGACCCAAGGTCAAATGCTGCCTGTGGTTGCACCAGTAGGGCAGAGGAGAATTAAACTATTCAGAAAAGGTGACCCCAATGCTTAAGGCAAGCAAGATCCATTTGAGCCACAACATGAAACAATGAATAAAAACTCCTTTTTCCCTGTTGCCCTCCCCAAGCAGGCAGAACTATGTCAGGGTGGATGACAAACCCCATTTCAATAAATTGGGTCTGGAGAGACTCAAGGCAGGACAGATTTTGGGTTTCATTCTTTCTATACATCTGCTCTTCTCTCCCACTGAGAATCTTTTAAGTCAGAAGTCAAAGTTCTGAGGCAAGGCTCAATTCCCCAAGTGCTTAAATGCTTTCTTTCCTGCACATGGACTCTGCCCTTCTTCTATTGGCCTGAGACTTCTGTCCCTGGGGTGGGCAGCAAGTGTCTTGAGGGGAGCTGGGAAGTGGAGGTAGGGTGGTGTCTGGGATGGAGACCCAGAGGAATTGTGAGGTGGAGCTTGGAGAGGGGGGGCAGTTCCAAATAGGTGAACCTGCTGGTCCTGCTGCTTCATGATCTGTCTGTCCAGGATGACACCTGGTACTGTCTCTACCCTGCCTCCAGTAGGAACAGCCTGCCAGCTACCTATTTGGGGCCACAATGCTGGCGATGCACTCCTACCCAAGGATTGCTGTTTTTCTGATCAAGGTCAGCTGTAAGTGTCTACCTGTACTTGCACATCTTGCAGTGGTTACTGTAACCCCAGAGCTACAGTCCCCTCTATCTCCTGACATCTGTGTAGCTGCACTGTTGCAGCAGCTCTTTGTAGGAGTGGATGGGAACTGGGAAATGCAGGGCCGTCCGTATTCCCGTGGCCCTGGTGGTGAAGCATGGGCTAGGTGAAAACTGCCCTCTATACTTCATGAATACTTGAATCTGTAATTAAAACAGAAGCACAAAGTATCTAGAAGATCATAATTTCATAAAGCCCAACAAGCCTGGCTTCAAAAAAGGAAAATCATGTCTCACTTACTGAATTCCTTAAACATGTCAAGGTCTGTAAAGAGAGATAATATCTTTTATTAGGCCAATTGATATAGCTGGAAAAAACACACAAGCTTTCCGGCACAGAAACACTTCTTGTATGTTTTTTTCCAGCTATATCAGTTGGTCTAATAAAAAATTATTACCTCTGCCCACAAATCTTATTTCACTTAATCCTTAGATCATCACAGCACAACTACTTGAACATGTCAGTAAGAAATGGAAAAAAGAGAATTATTTGATACAATTTATTTAGACTTCTGAAAGTTCCTCAGCCAAACCATGAGCTGCTACTAAAGCTAAGCAGGTATGGAGTGAGATCTGGTGCCTTTAGTAATAGGTTTTCTTGGAAGGCTTAAAAGTTTAGGGTTACACAGTCAGTTTTCATCATGGTGAAGTGTTAACAATGTAGTTTGTGGTGCGGCACAGTTCTTTATTGTAGCAGCAGAATAAATGAATGACAATTATTTAGGTTAATGAGGATGGTTGAAGATTCTGAGGAATGTGAGATACCAGAAAAAATATAAGCAAATGAACAAAGCACTGGAAAACTGAATGTTTATTTAACATGTGGAGCTAAAACCAGATCTATTTACAATTAATCCGTACATCTGTCCAGTCAAGAAACAGACTGGGGACGTTTTATGCAGCTCAGTGGAAATCTCTGCGCAACTCACGCTTACGAGGCACGTGTGTAATGATCTTTGTGCTTATATTTGATCCTTGGGACTGCCTCCACTTGCGCTCTGGAGACCGGCTGCCCATCTGGAAAGCAGTGTTAGAGAGCCAGAGAGAACTGGGAAGAGCATCAGAAGCGATCAGGAGACTTGGCAGAAGCCTCTGTGAGGAGACAGACAAGGCTGGGATTATTTGCCTTAGTGAGAACTTAAAAAGTGTCTACGGCAAAAAGCTGTAGAAGGCAGAGTGGCAGGCTGTTCCTGATCTGCCCCACTGCACGTGGGATTAAACCCGGGTAACAGAGTACCTGCATGACGTATTGCAGCACTGCTGTCACCGGTGGCCAGGCCAAGGTTCTGGGATTGCCAGGGCGCTGGATGTTGCTGTGGCTGCCCGGGGCTCCCGGCGGGGCAGTCCGGTGCGGTTGCCGGGCCGCGGTTGCCGGGGCGGCGGGGCGGGCTGTGCGCCGGAAGCCCCGGCGGCGGCGGCGGATGGAGGCTGAGCCCGAGCCCGAGCCCGAGCGAGCGGAGGCGCCGCGGCGGGGGGGCGTCGCCGGGGTGAGGGGGCCCGGGGGGCCCGGCCTCTCCGAGCGGGGCCTTTAAGCGGTCCGGGACGGGTGCGGGGCCGGGAGGGCACTCGGCGGGGCGGCGGCGTGGGCCGCTCCCGGAGTCGGCCCGCCCGGTCTGGCTGCCGTGGGCCGGCCGGTGTCTCCGAGCAGCGACCGGCGCTGGGCCGGGAGGCGGCGGCGGGGTGAACACCTGGGGCTGTGGTGCCTTCGCACCGCGTGTGAGGGCACCGCGCCTCGCCGCGGGGCATGGCGCGACGGCATAGCCGTGTCTCGCCTTCTCCCCCTGCTCTGAAACAGCTTTTATCAATAACCGTGTGCCCTCCGCTCCTTCGTATCTCCCCCTGCGCTCCAGATACTAAGGATGGGCCGTCGAGCCCGCCAGGACCTCTTGGCAGATGAAAATCTCATCAGGAAGAATTCCCCGTCTGCTTCTCTTGGAGAGGTGGGTGTACTGTCAGAAGAACCTGTAATTTATCCTGCTGGTGTCTCCATCGGAGGAGTCCTAATTTCTTTTGAGATCCTTTCCAGCATGGTGTGCTCTGTCCTTTAAAGTTTTTTATCCTTAGAGTTGAGACACATGTGACTGCCCTGTCCCTTTCCTGGTGTTGCCCTTTGCAGGATGTGTAGTTTTCACACAGGACCAAATTTAGGGCTACAGTCTCTCGTGTGAAGTATGGAGAGTAGTATCATACAGGACGTGGGTTTTTTCCCTCCTGTGAATGCATATCTTCCCAATATTTTGATTTCCAGCATTAAAATATGAACAGGCACATTATTTTGTGACCACTTTGCCACAATCTATGGAAGCAAGACAGAGTACAGGTAAACAGATGCTTTTGTGCTTTGCTTTTGCTAGAGCCAACGTACAGTATCTGATGTGATCACTAGAAAGTTTGTGTAGTGATGCTCTGTTTCCTCTGTGCACAGGCTACAAAGGTCATTCTAGGAGCCAGCTTTGCAGCATCTAAGGCCTTGTCTTGTGGGTAATAATGTGCAAACTCAGTTCCTACTTCTCTTTGGAGGAAAACTGTTGTTCAGAATCTGCTCTATCAGTACATCTTCAAATGGTAGAAGGGGGTCTGGAACCCCTCTTTCTCAGGAGAGTGAGGCAACATCCTCTTGTATGCAAAAATATGAGATCTGAACTGTTTCTATTCACTTTCTTGCCTAGTGCTGCAGAATGCTCAAATTCTACTGGAAGTTTGCTCTCAGATGTTGGCATGGCTTCTCCACAGGCCTCTCCAGCTGGAAAGAGCACTTCTCAAGAAATGACATAGAGATATTGCTCCCTGATATCTTCAGATGGGCTAGAGTGTCATGAGAGTTCCACCTTAGTGATGACACTGATAATTGTCTAAATGAGGTGATCCTTAACTTTTTGCAGCGCCAGTCATAGTCTCCAGCATAACATGTTCTTGGCTTCTTTAAATTTCAAACCCATTTTATCCTGCCGGCCACCTTGGCTCCAAGTGTGCTTCAAGCTGCTGTGCTCAGAGCCCTGGGACCTTCTGTCTTGGGATTGGCTACTCCCTGATCCTCTGTGCTGTGACAAAACTTTACTATTACACTGAGGAGTTGTGTCGCAGCCATCTGTGCTGAAACGGTTTGCTGGGGGGGAATAATTCCTTGGAGACCCTGGGATGCTGTTGAAAATACACTGTAATGGCTTAGCATACAGTAATGCCTCATAGAGCAGGCTTTTTTTTTTCTGGAGAAAGTATGTGCTTTTCTTTTAGTAGACATAATGGAGAACCTCCCACCTACTCATTCTCCCCTCCTCAGGTGTGCTGTAGTCATTTAAGATGGATTCTGTGAGGGAATATGGAGAAGGCGTAATTTAAGAAATAGAAATAACCATGGGCCTCATAGGTAAAAACACTCTTAAAGAAAACAGATGGTCGTTTAAGGGGGTGTAATCATTGGTTGGCCTCCAGATTAGGGTGGCTCACTGTCAGATGGTTCTCTTACTGGAACTGACTGTCCTAGCTTATAGGCTGATTCCCTGGTTCGAAAGAAACTGGAGTGTTATGTAAGGATACAGCTGGTTGACTGGAAGTTACTGCAGTTTTGCTTGGTGTGTCGCATCACAGCCATTTAGCTGGGAAGAGATCACAGGTACTCCAATCCTTGGGCACCCTGAAAAGGACTAAGAAGTAGTTACAGTGCTCTGTTTGAAAGCAGTGAGTTTTTCAGCAGCAGAAGGGTGAGGCCTTCCACGCCTTACAACTTTCAAATATGTTATTACTGGATCTGAACCACCAGGAAGAATCGTTTGTGTCAATAGTTTCTCTTCAGACAGGTCTTTGTTGCTAAATGTTTCTGTTAATTGAAAACCTCGGAGCTACTGGAGGAGAGACAAAATCCACTATAAATAATCCACAGCTTTTCCTTTGCTGAGGAATTGGAGGCTTTTCATACATGACCATATTTGATATCAAAGTGAGTGTTTAATAGAACTAATATTGTTTTTTCCTTCACCCTAGATTGGAAATCACCTTTTACTTTTCTGGAAGCTTGGCCTTGGCTTGCTGTTAAGTGATGGGGTCAGCTGTTACAATGGATGTCTCAGCCATCTGGTCATCTTAAAACCTTTTGAAGGAATCTTCCTGAAAGAAATGCAAATAAAATACAGTCCTTTCTGGTTTTTTTTCTGGAACTGGCACTAGTGGAGCAGGCCTCATGTAATTAATTTCAGCATAAGAGGTTTTTTTCTTATTACTGATTTTGAAGACAAACGGATTTGTCTTAAACCTTTGCCATATTCACAATTTCATATGCAGTTTCACATTCAGGATGGTGATTCTACCTTCAGAGGTTCCTCAGAGTTTTAAAACTGGCTTAATTTACTTTGATTCTTCCTATTTTAATTCCATGCCAATCCACTCAGTTTCCACCCAGCTCAAGTTTCTTGTATGAAAGTACCATTTGTGCTATTGTTCTGGTCTTTTCATGACACTGAGAAATATCCAGAAAGTCTTTTCCAGGCAGAGCAGCTTGCTTGAAGGATGCAAAAAGTGCCTGTCTATCCATGTTTCAACATTTGGGCTTATTACAAGGAAATTCACTTTGAGGGAGAACAATTAATGTAATTAAAAGGATCTTTGTTTTGAAGTCAATAGGCAAATCATCTGACTTGGAGCATAGATCTTATCAGGTTACTGCTGATCTCTCCTTGACCTGGCCTCCCCCTTCCAAAAGAGACTCCAAACTATGTGCCTTTGCTCACAAATGTGTTAAAACTCCCTTCCCTAGGGCATAACTGCAGTCTTGTGCCTTGTAGCCTAATATACTTCCCTCAAGCTCTGTGAAAACAGTCTGATATCTCAGTATCTTTTCAGCGCCTGTTATATGTATATATCTCCCACAATAATATTCTTAACTATAGCAGCAAATCTGTAATTCCTCTGTCCGGGTCTCTATTTGATAATTCCCATTCCTATGTGGAAGTACCTGCATTATCTTCAAATACAGACCTCTGTCTCCTCAAGGGGCTCACAAAAGGTCACAAGGCTCACAGTTTGCCATCTGACATGCAGAGCATTCCTGCCTTTTCAGAAGTACAAGTACTAACAAGGCTGCTGCTATGTATTATTTTGCAAGGCAAGAAGGAACATGATTATTTGCTGTAATTGATGCATCCTCCTGCAGCAAAGGCTGTGCATGTACCTTGCCTTCAGAGCTCCTTGGCAAATTGGCAGGCACTTCTTGCGCACCCAGGGGAATATGCTTTAAGTGGGAATTCCTAGAGATAAATCTGCTAGCTACATGCCAGAACTCCACATTTCAAACATTTGTTTTCAGAGGGATAGAGGCCTTACCCATCCCCTGGCTTGATGTGTTACATTTACTCATTTTGATGCTATCAAGTTTCTGACAAAATGGGAGAGACTCAAGCTGACCAAGTTATTTTTATAATGGGAGGGACAGATCATATAATGAAATCTGTTGAGGATCTTTGCTAGCCCATCCTAACAGGACTTCTGGACACTTCTGTAGAATGAAAGTCAAACCTATTTCCTGGCTCTAACATCACTGCACCCAAAAGCCTGAATGCTTAATGGCATCCACCAGAAGACAATGTTTGGCCAGGTTTGGGACTCTCAATGAGATTGATTTGGAAAGCTGAGTGGAAAAGCCTTTTTTAAAAATGTATCAGCAGACTTTTCTGTTATCTCATCAAGAGTGGACTATTTGTTGTTTTTTAAGAAATCTGTATGCAGAAATATTGTAATATTTTCTTGTTTCCACAGTCTGTTTTCTCTTCGTCCTGTGGTGACGGGATTCCCTTGGGACCTTGTTCAAGAGTTCCCTGATTTCTACTCTTAAAACCTCCATATGATTTTTCCAGTGTGTGTCTGATGGCACTTTGTAGATCCTTTGAGTAGAGACTACTTTAATATGCAATATTTCAGCCTCCAGAATGAGGATTTTCCAGACTATGTTAATAGTATCTACACACCTGCAGGACAAGATCACTTTAAATCAGGATTTTCCCAGAAATCAAGTTCCCTGCTGGTTCTCTTCTCCATGTTTCACCACAGCTGGGAAAAGGCTCTGTACTTTCAATTCTGAAAGTATGTTTTTCTCTTGTTATATCCTACCTGGCATTTGTGAGCTTGCCTATGTAGCTGTGGTCCTTGGGTGATAGTTAAAAAGTGAGCATTTCTGTGCTGTAAAAAATACCTTAATCAGGGTACTGTCACGTAGACAGATGAAAGCTTGGGCCATCTCCACTGTACGTTGCAAGGATGTTCCCACAGGTGAATTTTGCAAAGCAGCTATCTGGACTTCCACCACTGAGTTTACAAACGTTCCTGGCAGTGATTCTTTAGGCTGATATCCAGGCATCTTTTAAATAGGATTCCATTATCTAACCCAAATGAATAAACAATAAAAAAAATGAATTGCTGAGAGTGAAATGCATGTGGAGGATTGCTCAAAGAAGTAGTTATCTAAATGCTTTTCCAGCATGTGTTGACCAGCTGGATTTTCTTCTGTGCTAGTGTAAGTCTTAGACCACTCGGGCTCTGTACATCCAGAGCAGCTTAGGTCATGTTGGGCCCCACAGAAGCCTTTCTGCTTTTGGATGTGGGATCAAGTGAGTCCCTGGCTGACAGATACACACTTCCAACAGATTTTTAGCAGTTGGGCAAATCTGACCTCATTTGTGCTGCTCATTGATATGGATACTTTTGTACTCCAGCTGTCCTAACCTGCATGTAGCCTCCCTCTGCTCTTGTCCTAGTAAGACCATGAGAACAGATGACAAGACAGACAGTAAGTGAACTCAGATACTAAACCACTTTAATCAGAGATATATGCAAGTTATGAATTACATGGCTTCTGTGTTCCACAGGAGAGATGATGCAGTCCAGAAGAAGAGTCAGGTGGGTTAGTGGAGTTTTTCCAGCTGTCCTATGCATACATCTGGTGCAGGGTCATAGGTCAATCTAGGATACCCTAGATTCTCTCCCTGGGTGATTCTGAACACTGTGATTTCTAGAATAGCATAGAGCTTACCCGGTTCTTAATCGCCTCCTTGCGTTTTGTGTCTGACAGCAGCGGTTTTTGCCACTGGTGGTGGTGACAGTCTGTTCATCTGAAAGGTTCTCAACCAGTTTGCAGCTTTCACAGTGATTAACAGGCTGCTTTCCTTGAGTTATTCATCTACCCCACAACCAAGCTACTCCCCTATACTACAGTGTTAGCTAAAGAGCATCTGCTAAAGTGAACACTGTTGTCAGCTCTGCCTGTCATAGGCTAACTGCTACAGCTCCTGCTCCCAGGCGAGGATCTGAGGTTGTCTTGAGAAACAGTAGCTCCTAAAAAAGGCTGCAGCCTACTACACTATATAACCCCTGGTATGGCCGGTCCAGCATAATTTCCGGTCTCTGGCATGCCTGCAGTGACTATCCATACAAATCTTTCAGGCATCCTACACACTTGAATAATTTGGGTTTTGTCATTCTATAGGGAGAATGAACTAAGTCTGTTCTTTTCTTGCTCATGTTTCTTTCCAAGGTCTGCCACTGTCAGACTTTCCTGCCATTGCAGTCAAACATTCCTGCTTTAAGTATCATCAGTTGGTTTATGCATAAATGACTGGATATAAAATTGTACAATGGTGGGATCAATTTTGTGCTTTGTTCAAGTGAATAAGGTGGCAAAGCATGTGCTGCAGGACAGCCAGAAATGTGGTTCTTCAAGCTATTTTGTGCAGGCTTCCATAGTGCTTCCTTTTAACTTCTTTCTCTCTTTTTCCCTCCTGATCCTTCTAGGATGAAGACTCTGAGGAAAAGGTTGACCATGTAAGACTAGAGGCTTTCTAGGTAGATGCTGGCTTCTCTGAAAGGGACTAGTAGGACTAACCTAATATGTGTCTGGAGTCTACCTTAAAAAGGTACTCTAGTATTGGAGAATGAAACAAAGTTTGCCTCAGATGCAGTGCCTTTCCTGCATCCTCTTTTCCTGTTGCTGACAGGTTTTTAATTTTCTTTGTAACAGCTACTTGTATCAGCTGCTGCATCTTCTTTTGAGGTCACAGATGTATATGTGGCCACTGGAAAGATGCTCTATTCTCATTTAAAAGTCAGGAGAGCAATTAGTTAATAGAATACAAAATCTGACTGAGCCTAGATTGCTGTCCAGTACGGTTAGCTCGCTCCCATAACATGAAAACTTGTGTTCAGGGATGATGAAGTCTTGCTAGTGTCCTAGGGGAGAAGGCCAGCCAGTAGTAACAAGGATGTGTGCCTTTGTACTTTCTATGAGTCTTTGTATTGTGCCAGCTCTGGAATGCCCATGTGTGTAGTTCATAGGATGTCATAATGCTTCTTACCAGGCTCCTGTTATACGGGGAGAAGGAATACACATGCCCTTTCTCATCCTGCAGCAAAGCTAAAATACACTCAGCATTCATTTAGCATTAGAAGCCAGGATGATGCTGTTCAGAACCACCTGAGAACTTCTACCTGTTTCTGTTAAAGTCTTTGGGCCTTGCACTCTTCATAACTGTGGAATGGGTGTTGCCTAATTTTTCCTGCCTTGAGTTGCTCTCTGTATATGTTAGACAATTAAAGCACCTTCTTCCGTGCTCTTTAATTCCTCCTGCTGAAGCACCACCTCAGTATGGATAGCATAGTAGATTCATTTGTGAAATTTAAAGCCCAGAAAAGAAACCTGTATCACCCATCTCATTAATTCTGGCCTCAGAAGGGTATACTCATCACAAGGAGTCAAGACTATTCAAATTAGCTCAGTTTTCTCATGGTAGGGTAAGAGATGATATTATAGGAAATATCCACTGGGTTTATTTGGCAGTAATGGATGGTTCAGGACTATGCCCAGAGCACTTTTCCATTTATCAGGCAAAGAGACCTCCCACTGATGGGTATAGTTTTGGGGACTGGTTGCCTAATAGAAATTTTTCCTGATAATTGATATAATCTCCTCCCCCCCTCGCTGGAACCAGTCCTTACAGTAATTTCACTGGAACTAATTCCACCTCCATACAGTGCCCTAAGTCATTGATTCCCAAAGTCTGCTGTTGAATGCTGACTGGTCACATGCCACAGGCGCCTTCTTGCTCCTGGCTGCTAAATTTCATTAAAATAACTAAACTGATGTGACTCTTCCACATGAGCAATTGTTGTTGCTTCAGGGGTGTTATGCAATGGTGCCTGGCAAGGAGATTTTCCTTAGTATGAAGGGATCCCTGCTTTGAAACCCCTCTTGTTTGGATAATTCCTGTGTCCTTTATTCAGGCTTATGCTCTTAAGCATCACAGTCATATGCTACAGTAGTTTTCCATTTGTAAAAGCCTGTAAAAGATATAAAATAGTTAACCGAATGTTGAGAAATCTGACCGATCAGTAAGCTGCTTGTAATTTACAATACTATATGCTCACAAACTTCTGTTAATTGTATTGTAAGTCTGTTCCAAACCAATTGTTAGTGGAACTTTATATTATAAAGTATGATCCAAATCTTGTTGCAATATATCCCTCCCTTAGTCATTGCCTGGCCAAGCTGAAATACTTGGCTTCTTGAATCATTTGTCCGAAGTTGGCTCCTTCGTCCCCCCGATGGCTCATATAACCCTTCTCTGAACTCCCTTTGGGCTATGCTGAGTGTTACAATCTGAACTCTTCCTGGATTTGGTCCCTGTCCTCTTGCTGTGCTGAAGATAACTTTGTGGCTGTGTGGATACCAACAAACAGCCGCTTCTGGGCTGTTGATGTGAACATACCTGCTGAAGTCCTGCCCTCCAGCTTTCTGCCTGCTCTGAAACTTGTTTTGCATCCCCTGGCATACCTCTCATCTGGGATCTGAATTTTTGCAATTGAATCACTCATTTGGCTGCACCTTCCAAGGCTGCCTGGGACATTTAGCCAAAGGCTGTAAGGCTGATCAATGGTATAATACAGGGTGTATCCTAATATTTCAGTTAATTTGCAGAGGCAGAATAGGCATGAGGAGTATGAACATGGCTGTGAGCCAAGATTTTGCTGGGTTCTTTTCCTGGCTTTGCCATGGATTTGCTCTGGGGCCTTGTAGAAGTCTCTCCACTAGTTTCCTTTAGTCCCTGTGCGAAAGGAGGGCTAGAGCTTTATGCAGATTCCCTGAACACATATCCACAGGTTTAGATGCCTTATCTTCATAGCAAAATCCATAGCTTTTACTGGGTGCTTGCACAATATGTAGGTAATCTCAGGATGGGATGGTGGATCTGTTAGGGTGTTGAAGAGTAGCTGGAAACTGCACTGTGTCTGAAACTGTTCCTCTGTCGAGTTCTGGCCCCATTCTGAGAGTTCTGGGAGCACGTTCCTGCACTACCAGTGAGTGATCCTGATCCCCATCCTGTGTTTTGTGTAGCCTTCAGAAGTGGAGTAGGGCTTTTCCTTGACTTCAGGGACTTCCAGGAAATGAAGTGTTCATTTAGATGTTGAAACAGCACACTGTTTCAACATCTGCCATTTCCTTCCTAAACTGGAAAACACTGATTTTATTGTCCTCTTCCTCCTCTGAGAAAGATGTATCAAGTAATATTTCCCACCTCCATAGAGAATATAATGACAAAGCTATGAACTGTTCAGGGTCAGAGAAGGCTCTCAGTCCTTTCTCCTGAAGCTGCTCTGCTTAGCAGATGGAACCAAAAGGATTTTGGTGCCACAGGGAAGGACTTTCTAACTGAAAGCAACATTTGGGTGGGAAGACATATGTTCCAGTCCCAATGAGTTCAGCTGGGACCTCATTCTCTGTCTTTGCTTTGACAGACATGCCGTAGATAGTCTCAAGGTCCTTCATGGACTAAAACAGGGACAGCACTTGATTTCTCACTCTTACATAGGTGGATGCTGACCTCTGTGGCTCTATTTCACTCAGAGTTTTGAGTGATGACATGCTTTAAGGCAGCAGTTGGAAAGAGGATTTGAAGATGCGACATTTCCAGTGGGGGCAATGAAGTCCTGTAGTTCTAGTTGCCAGTGCTTTTAAAACATTTAGATAGAAAAAATGGGCTGTTGCTTTATAGTTTAAGGCAACATATCAGGAACAATTGATTTCAGTGAATGTTTTTTGGAAGAATAACTATCAAAAAAAATTAAGTACCTGAAATATAAAGCTCTTTGTGTTCTTATGGTGCTAGGTTACCCAGTTCCGTGGGGTTGATCGAGTGAGTGTATTTGCATCCAAACATATAGTGCAGAGTGATGCAGAGATCCCCTGGTGAGAAGCAACCTGCCCTCTACCTGGGGAGGTACCAACTTGGTTACCAGAAGTACCCAAAACAAGACCATTTCCAGACTTGAGCTGACTCACATGAATCCTGCTTGTAGGTATGTCTGCACCTGTGGTGTAGACATGGCCTGGGGCTTGATATGATCAGGGCCTTTAATCAGAGCGGTATTTTCCTGACCCAGTTCTTAACCTTGCACAGTGGTTGGCACCCAGCTCCAAACTCATTCCACTGTCTGGTCTGGTTTGGATCTGCACAGCAGCTACCCCCCAAGTGCTCTTGCCCATGTTCCCTGAAACTTAAAAACGTGTGACCGAGGAGCCCAGCGCTGGCTGCACTCAGATGGGCGCTTATTTGGGGGACCTTATTTGTTTAAAAATAATCACAGTGGTTTAGGCACTGTCCTGCCACTCTAGTTCAGAGAGTTCATGACCTGAGAAGTTACAATTGTAATGCAGTCACTTATAGCCACTTCTGTATCTACAGTTTGCATTGCTGTAAGATCTAGAGAGTGTTGGTGTGTGGCTGGAACAGAAGTTTCCCATTCCCAAAGACCTTACAGTCTCACTGCGTTGTTCTTCTCTAGCATCCTGTTTTCCCCTGTGATCTTCAGCTTGTAGAGGAGCCTTTACCAGGGGCTAGCTGCATTTTGTGTACTGAACGTTGCCAGGAGTTTGCTGCCTTAAGCATGCAACTGGGAGTAGGGTGGACTGGCAGTAGATAGCTCTTGAAGCAACTGACATTTGTTTTCTGAGGCAAAATTTCCTGTAGCTGTTGCACATTGTGAATGCTCTCCCATTTGCTTGTTAGTCCCGAGCTACATTTGTCCCTCCAGGTCCCAGAGTTTCTGTCATCTGTTTGGATTCTTGCATTGTGCTTATAAACACCCTCCACTAAAGGGAACCGGCATCCAAGGGAGCACTGGGTTTTTTACCTGTTTCCATTATACAGGGATTGCATGGGGTTTTTTTCCAGAGGTCTTCTGGTTACTTGTAGAAATGCTGGACTCCCAGCCTGTTCCTGGGGACCTCTCATCTGGAAATTGGCCAGATTCTCCAGGAGGAATCTCAAAAATGCAGCTGAACTTTTGTTCCCTAATTAGGCCAACTTCCCCAGTGTGAGCCCCAGCAGTGCATGGCCTGGAGCTCCCCAAGGCCTTGCACTGCCTGTGCCCTGTGCACCCCGAGTGGCTGGCCAGCAGGGCAGTTATTTTCAGCTTTCTGAGCTTATCTTGTAGCTTTTTGATGACATCTTCTGAAATAGCTTTTCTAGTCAGCCATGTTTCCCAGCCTTTCTAGTAGTATCCTCCCTGCTTGGCAACCTTGATGTGGATTAGGGACAATCTCATTAAAAAAAATTTAATAAAAGCTTTTCCTTTTCCTTACATATATTTCATGCTTTGAGTGCTCCTGGACCCACTTGAAGGCAACAGAAGAACAGTAGGAAGGGTGGAGGTGGATGGGGATATGTCTGACAGTATGTAGCACAAGGTAGTATCAAACTGTTTGAGTGATGTTCATGCTTAGAAAGGCTGGAGGGGCACTTCCCTGTAACTGTGGGTTGTGAGAGGATTCTACCTGGTGACCACTTGCTCAGAAAATCAAATTGTTGTGTACTGATTCACTGTTTTCATGCAGGAGAGAGCAGTAACTCCTGAGACAGGTCAAGATGCCAAATGCCAGAGAGGTGACAGATTTCCTAGCAGGTGCACATGTGAGCTGATTAGATAGCTGACCACTGTTTTAGGGGAGAAGTTCTTGGTAGCTTTTTAACAATATGACCTGCTCCTTTACCTGCTCTGATAGATAACAGAGAATATTTGAAGTTCCCCTCAAGCACTTTTCTTGGCTCAAGAGCACTTTCTCTAGTAAAGGAAAGCCAGTGACCATGAAGAAGGTCAGTTTGTGGATGAAATGGAAATCCAGTATTTTCTACCAGGTATGTAAGACATGCAGAAGTCCTTGGAGGGTATTCATTAAAATCAGATACACTATTTGAACCATCTGTGGACATGATAAAGAGAGCTAGCAGAGATGGGCTGTTCTTTGCAAAAAACCCAGGCTTGCATAGGTCTGGGAATTGATCCCTTTTTGTTATCATATATGCTCTGAGATCAGTATAGATTGTGTTAGGTGGCTGCTTGGAAGCAGCTGGGCTATTTGACTTACAGTTTCTTAATTGGCAGCAGTCAAAACTAATTCATCAGACCTGTTTGTTGAGGTTTGCCTTTCTTCAGTCAGAGGAGCCTCAGGCATCTTGCTGGAGAAGAGGAACCTTGAGACTGGCCATACTTCCTTCTTTCCACTCCATGGTCAATACTGGATAAAAACAAGACACCTACATCCATATATAATCTCTCAGTCTTTGTATATTGGGAAAACAAAGATCCTATAGGTTTTAAGAGATGTATTACATGATAGAAAAATTGTGTGTCCTCTGTTACACGCTGTCAATGTCATTTGAGTCCCTGCATCCCTGCACAGAATGTTCAGTGTTTCAAAGGAGTTTCATGTTGATGAAGGTAAATTAATCCATATTTCCAGACCCACCTGAGAATCTGAGGGACCAAACATGTCCATAATCTGTCTCTGTTGTGGCAGGTCCTGAAAGAAACTTTGTTGGACCTTCGGGATCCAGAGACATACAGGATAGCTGCTTCCGTGAGGGAAGCAGCATCCAACTGGCACCTTCAAAACTTCAGACGTGATCTGACAAGTAGCTTGGAAATTTCTGCCTTAATGAAGAAGCCAAATTAGAATTCTGCATCTGTCTGATAAGAAAGGTCCTGGCTAAGATAAAGAAGAAGGTAGAGTTTCTGCTTTAATGCAGGAGAGATGGAATTCAGGCCAGTCATTTTTCAAAGGGAGAGATAAAACACTGATTATGGAGGTAGCATGAAAGTGTTGGTAAGGAGGGTGGCCTAAGAAACACTGGAAAAGTGCCATCACAAAAATGGTGAACTGAGTTTATGAGGAAAAAACCAAAACAAAACAAAACAAAAAAACTCAGACCATGGCAATTTTCCTTGAAAAAGGGGACAATCTGCAGAAACTAAGTACAGGAAATCTCCTGGAGATAAATAATTGATAAAAACTGAAGTATAAAGGCAAACCACAGCAAGAAAGTGATTAATTAATGCCGTGATAGAGACTGAGCAGCAAGAGCTGAGAAAGAACACTGTTGTCAAGGAGTCAGTGGAATCTCAATGTTTTGAACACCAAACTGTTTGGGTGTATAGCTCAGCTTTGCATTTGGGAACATACATAAAAATCTTGCCTAGGGTATTACAGTAGGTACCAACAAGTTCTGATCATTTAAATTCCCCAGTTTTTTTCACCAAACAGGTGTGTTCAGGAGCACATTTGCTCCATTACAGAGGAACAGGTCCCTCTGTTTCTGCTCTGATCTCCCAGGGGTTGACATTTGTCCCACTTTCTGCCTCAGGCTCTTGGTTGCAGCTGCAAAGTCCCTACCTGTCACCATATTATGGCAATGCACAACATTGCATTCTCAATTGTAAATTATACTTAGGTTTTGGAAACGTGAAAGTATATGAAGGTAAGTTTATTTACTTGACAAAAGTGCATGTGGCATGTGACCTTATTACAGCACTTTCCAGGCAACTAACAAAGAAAAGCTATTTATCCTCAGCTGACAGTTAACATTGCCTTTCCTGTTGCTAGTGCTCCTGTAGGCAATTCAGAAAGAATTACCTGATTTATTGCAAGAGGAATAAAAGACCTGTGTGAGGTGTTTGTCAGGGCCTGACAGACATTCAGGGTTGCCTGGTGTGTATGATCAATGGGAACATGTTAAAACGTTGGCAAGACTTGGAATCAAACCCCTAGACGCCATGGAGTCATGCCCTGTGCAAAGGCTGGAGCAGTCATTCTCATCACCCTCTGATCTGGTGTACCCCACTTGAGATATCTTTGATCTTAAGGCTAGTTTTGATGAGGAAATTAATGTAAGTGCATTCAAATGCCCTGGGAATGCTGCATTTTCCCTCAGCTTTATGGTCCAGGTTCTTTAGTGCAATTTGTGTATCTCTGTGCACCTTTGTGAGGAGTTGTGAGGCTGCATGTTGGAAACATGGCTTGCTGGCTATCGGAGGGATAGTGTGAGGGGAGAGGGGTTGTTTGCACGGGAAGGGTCTGCGTGGGAGGGAGTGTGGTTTTAAGGTAGGAGTGTGTGTAATGGGAATAGGGATGTTTATGTGGGCATGCACACCCATATGTGGTGTGTTTTCCCCCTTTTTCCTGGGCTCTGGGTGTGTCCAGATCAACTGAATTCAAAATGCTCCTTTTTTGGCACTGTAGCCTCTTCTCTGGTTTGGCATCTTAAGAATCTGGGGGAATCATTTAAAGATCAGAAAACTCCATTCACTTGGGCCCCTGAAGGCTTCACATTCTGTGACATGGTCATTCCAGTCGACTGAGCTCTGTCCCCTACGGATGAGCCCATATAAGGAGGCTGTTTCCTGCATTTCACGCTCCCTGTCTGTCCCTCTGCCCTCCTGTGCTCCCTTTGCTGAAGAAAGTTGGTATTTTGGGACTGCAGCTCCTGCCTCATTCCTGCTCCCTGTTTATTTTTGGAGGATGACTATTTTTGCTCCTATCAGGGAGCTATGCAGGGTCATGCTCCCTCCCTGCAGCAAGCAGTGGCTGCCCCTGGCAGGGTCTCTTAATTTCCCACACTCACAAACAATGCTTCTACTTCAAGAAATAAACATGGGAGACCCCTACCATCAGGAGCTAGCTCAACCCCTTCCTCATGTGTGGCGGGAGGTGATTTGCTTGGACTCAGGGTTGACCCTACCGCACATGTGGGGTTGTCTCTGAAGTCTAAAATCCTCAGGAGTCATCCCACTCATTCACTTTCGTAATAAAAGCTGTGGGAGCCACCTGTCCCCTTACCATTCCTTTGCTGTTACCATCTTTTCCCTGTTTTCAACATCTTTTACCCAATCATCCTTTCTCATGATGGTCCCTTCACCATCCCCTGTATCACCCTCTCTCTGTCTTTGATCATTGGGCACCATCAATTGGGAGCCATATAAACTGGGCTAACCTTGCCTCTCTGCTTCCACCACTGCCTGTCATGCAGAACACAAGTCACTGCTGCACAAGGTGCCTCAGGCTGAGGGAGCTGAATCCAAAACTGTAAAGGCAACGGGCAGCTCCCACATAGTGGGAATTCATGGCCCCATTTGAAAATTCCCATGCTAAGCCCCAAGCTGAATTCCCGTTTTCTCTTGCCATATGGCAGAGTGCCACACAAGACAATGCAAGAAAATAGCAGGGAGTGTCTTTAAGCTCCAAATGAACTTCCCCTTTAGATTTCAGTGGTGGCAGGGGTGGGATTCATCCTAACTAACTTTGGAAGTGTTTGGTATGGCTCACTGTATTTGAACTTGGCGTCTATTCTCCTATTCTCGGCAGTGGACAAAAGCATACTTTTCAGGAATAATTCCTCATCTAAAACAAGATGTCTAAAGCATGCTGTCTTGTACCCTAGGAAAGATGTAACATAATACCTTCCACTGCTGTGTGGGCAACAGTAATGCACAAGTTCCTAGTGAACCCTGTTTTGCCAGGAGAGCACATCCTCTGTGGATCAGTCTGCTACGGTCCTGTGTGTCCTGGACAAGTCAAAGGCACACAGACCTGGAATTTGTCAAGATCCTGATTAGGGTGATGCAACTTTTGCTTACAGAGTTGCTTAAAAACCTTTCACGTAATATATGTCCTCCTTTTATTTTATTAGTAAACAGCATTTTAAACACAATCTGTCCATCTGTTATTTGGTAAAGTGTTACATTAGTATGTGTAGACCTGGTGTCTCAGTTGGCTTGACTTTGCCTTGACTGGAGCTGTCTGTAACGTGTCTCTTCACTTTATTAAAGGGTCCACCACCTAAACCGCCACGCCGGCAAGGAGGCTGGGCAGATGATCCTGTAATGGCACCTATCAAGTGAGTCCTCACCTCTTTCCTTATTAAGAGGGGCTTAGGTGTTGATTAAGTGAACATCACTAGATGGACTTTGCTGTCAGAGATATTGGAACAATTTTTGTGGGTCTTTTACGTGGCTTCCGTCTCCAATACCAATATAGCTCCTTCAAGCTGTTTGAATTATTGCTCTTGCTTGGTTCCATTGGTTAATTGACTTGGTGAGACTCAGAACTGTGTACATGTCACTGTTTGCCATAGGCAGTGTATTCCTTACCTGGTACAGTACCTGGAAGTAGTCAAGAACATAATAAGCATATGAAATGCAGGAGCTGAGGTGGGGGGTTTTGACTGGTTCCATCCTTTCCAAGAGAGTGACACATGACAGCGCCCCACTGACGAGTGCAATGAACACATCAAGATTTAGTGATCAGCCTTGACAGTGAAGGTGAAATTTGTCAATGTTTATGTGTGTATGGGGTTATGTTATAATGGAGATGGATAGAAATGGTCATCAAGAAGAGATGGGAGGAAAAAAGTATATAAATTGTAGAGTATATGTTGAGAAGCCTGATGTAGTACACCTAAGGTAAAGGAAAATATCTGCACATGGTAATAGAATAGGTACGAAAACTAAAGGACAGTTCAGACTGGGAGGAGATGACTTGCTTTCAAACTATTTGTTGTTTTCCAAGCTATGAAATTATACTAATGTTGTATTTCATATTCCCAGAGCTGAAGGGCTCAGCCATGGAGTGGTGTGAGATTGCTTGTGTACTTAAAGGCCTTTAATAAGAGTGTATATGCCTTAATATATACTTTGGAGGCAGTCTGATCTATGAAAAACTATCTATTTTCTTCTTTGGAACTCTGAGAATGGATGAGGACATTCAGAAACCTCTTATACAGTCACTATTTCTTGGGAGGTGAGACAGGTGGTCTGTATTCTGGGGTAGCCTTTCTGGGAAACAGTAGTTTTCTAGGAAAACTGTCACTCTGTTTGTCTCTGAAAAATAAATAATCTGGAGACCGAAATAAAGCAAAGGAATAAAGATCTCTGCCTGAACTCCTGTTCCTCTCCAGTTTATCCCTGATAATGGTTATTTTTCATAGGCTGGCTGCAGCTAGACGTTGCCATTGCAAAGTTACATCCGCCTCAGGGTATTAAAAAAGTGCCACCAGTGATGCTCGATTTTGTAGGACCAAGCAGAAGCTTTATGGAAATGTGACAGCAGAGAACAAGGGTGAATTTCATTGTTTAGGAAAAATAAGTTATGTAACTGTTGACTAGGCAAAGGACTGGACTGGAGATAATACTTTTTCAGGGCTGTGTCCAATGTGCCCCGAAGGACAGTGTACAGGTTCCTAATGTGACAGCACAGTGCCACGTGCTACTTTCCCGTGTTTTCCATTGTTTGACATTAGCCTTATCCAGTAGATTTGCAGCAGTAGCTATCAGTGGTGCTTCCCCAGATCTCAACTGCATGGCTTACAGACATTGTAGGTGTCTGCAGTAAATGCTTCTATGATGTTGGATGCAATTCAGCTGAAGAAACAGAACAGGAGATTCTGTAGGGTTGCAAACCTTTCTGCATGTTAGGCTCTGCACAATGGGACATGAGATCAAGATGTGCCCCTTGCTCAGTCATGCATATGATACTATGTCATATCTGTGTTCTTTTCATTTGTATTAAGAGTTTTTATTGGATAAATTTCATGAAGGGGAAGTTTGTTCTGATTTTCTTCAGTCATATGAGGTACAAGGATTTTGTACAACTAGTTCCCCTCTTCAGTTGTGTATTCTCCTGAAGCTGGTCTCTCTTCTCTCCCTTAAAAAAGTCTGAGATGGTGGCCTGTAGGGCTGTCTTTGTGACATATCCCAGGGTAAAGCCTTCATGTGAAAAGTCTGACTCATCGGCTGATGTCATACCAATGTTGCTGTAGCTTTGTTGTTTCTGTTTTCTCAGGCTCTATCTCCCCACAGCTTTTCAACCAATTTGACTCAGCTTGGAAGCCCATCAAGTTAACTTGCTCCAATTTCATTAGTGTAGATGTAGTTAGAATAACATGCTTCTGTTGATACATCTGATGTAGGTTTAAGCACTTTTATGCCAGTGTAACTGAGCCTATACTTGGGAATTTTTCTGTTAGAAGTAATTAGATTTTCAGAACTGACAATGTTAAAATCTGATTTTTTCATGTGTTTACTTAGAAAGGAAGGATGAGCAGAGTGGCTACAGTTAGATTTTCTGTGTTGTGTAAAATACACTGTGAGTCAGATGCGATACTGCAGCCACTCGTGCAATGATTTTGTAGCCATTTATGTGTTATTCTTTCTCCATTTGAAGTCTTAGCTTTTAGTTCTGTTTCTGACAGATTCAGCCAGTTGCCACTGCATGTGTTGATTTTCCTGCAGGGATACTTTTCTGCTGTATTTCTAGTTCTGAGTCTTATCAATGTGAAGTGATCACTTAAAAATGTGGGGGTTTTTTGTTTCCATTTGGCACATGTTACAGAATGTAGCTTGTAACCTGTTTTTCTGTTTTTCTACCTTGCTGCTCCCTCTTCATCCCTCACCTGCTCAGGTCTTGTCATGCTTAGGTAAACTTGCAAATCTTATCATCATCTTGCTGATTATTTCCATCAGACTCCTGCTCTCTCAGACTTTTGCAAGATAGAAAGATGAGGAGTTTTCCAACCTATAATTATTTTTTTAAATTAATTATCACAGATGGTGTACAAGTGAGATAAAGTGTTTTATCCTGAGTGCCCATAGCATTCACAAGTGTCAGATATTTAAATTGCCAGAACTATCAAAATGCTCTTTTACTCAAGTTTTTAAAAGCCATGCATGGAAAGATTACTTTGGACTCTTAGTACACCTGTAGAACTGCTGTCATTGCTAGGGTTCACATTTGGTAAAACTGGATAATGATGAAGACTGCAATTAGGTGTCTGAGCAAACCCCCAGACTGGTCCTTTGCAATCAGCAAATAAATGGTGCAAAGTAGTGACAGAAAATTCATTTTCCATACTGACAGGCTATCTGTACCTGAATCTGCCTTATCTAGTTAAATTTGTACTCAGAAGAATAATTCTCTATGAGAAGAGGCAGTCCCGTTGCTGCCCCAGCAACATTCTAGCCTCAATATTAGTGGAAAGGGGACCAACCAAGAACTTAGCCACTTGGGGCCTTGTATCCTGCTGAGATAATAGTAATTACAGCTGGGTTTTGCTACAGAAGCAGCTCTCTAACCACTGGATGGAGCCCAAGTGCCATTCTGAATATCGTTCTGATGTCCCTAATGACATCAGTGTTGACACTTGTGACAAGCAAAGCAGAGGTTTATTATCAGGTTATCTCACACATCAAAGGAAAGAAGCACAAAGTGCCTGCCAGTGGGAAAAGGAAAAGGGTTTTGCATACGAGTGAGGATTTGATAAAGGAAGAGTGCTTCCAGGATCCATTTAGTTCGAACTTCTTCTGATCTCATATCTCTGACTTGACTGATAGAATTCTTCAGTTTCCTCTCTAGCAGTACTTTAAGTACTTTAAGTACTTAAAGGTACTCTAGCAGTATCTTTATTTCTTGGGACTCTTTCTGTTTACCTGGATGCTTGATTCCTTTGGTTTTGCAATGAGCCCCCTAAAATTTCTACAGCTTTGCAGACAGCAGCTAGGGTTGTTTTGTAACAAACACAGCTCATTTCAGGTGGCCCTGCAAGCAAACACAAGTGCTGCTTTCAGTAGGAAGTCCCTTCTAGTGCCCGTATATGTTACCTCCTTTCTTCTACATGGATCATGGCAATTTAGCAACAGGTGCTTCAGCTACAGCTGAAATGTCCCCTTTCTGACTGATAGGTCACACAGAGTTGGAATAATCAAGGCTTGTTTAGGAAAATGACCATGCTGAAGTATTTTGGGACAGAAGTGGTGGTACAGTGTCCAGGAATGCATTTACGAAGGTGAATATTAAGGGCCTGTAGGAAGGAAGAGGATGCAGTTGGGGTGACCTTTAGAGCAGGGTAACTGAGCCCCTCTGCAGATACCATTTAGGGCTCTGGAGGGTGGGCAATGGTGAGATTGCACCCTGGGGCTGGAGGAAAGTTATTTAAGATATTAAAGGGTTTTATGATTCAAGGTCTCTAGAGGTAAGTAAAGTTAAAAACCTCCTGTTTCAAAAATATGGGTTTAAACTGTCTTGTGTTCTATCTGTAAGAAATGACCCCTGAGAGTGCCTGGTTATAGAACCTCCAGTCATTCCTGTGTTGCAGCTGGGAGTAGTAAAGTGCTCATGAGTTTCTCCAGCTGGCACAAGCTTGTCATTGCTTCTGCCGTCTACTCCCAGTCCAGCAGTGTTGAGGTGAATCTCAGGCTGGATTTCCCTGTGACACTGCCATGTAAGGCGGGGAGCCAGACATCTGGCTGCACAGGAGACATCAGCCTCACTCTGTGTCTTGCAGCCATCTGTGGATGTTCTCAGTGATGTGAAGAATATGGGCACAGAGGATCAAGGCTGCCAAGTGAGGGAGCACAACTTAGAAGGAGAAGAAAGAAAAGGAAGTCTGATTAAGTTTTGTCTTGAAGTGTCTGTTTTTGGGTTTGTCCCTGCATTGATCTGCAAGGGAATGAGGCAAGTAATGGCCCCTTGGGGACCTTCAGGACTTTCCTCTCAATGTCAGCCGTCATTTTCAATCACCCTCTCCCTCCCAGCCATTAATTTTGGCCCAGGATCATGGGGACTTGTCCATCTATCACTCCTAATTGACACTAAATGATCTGTCAGTTTATTGATGAACGGCAGGAGTGGAATTGTCACAATATATTTTACTTTCTAACAACTCCTCCTGACAATTTTACCTTGTCCATCTCACTCTCCTCACATAAATCTCCATTGGCCTCTCATTCCTTCTCTTGGGCTGATCCGGTGCCAGCCACCTCCGTGCCATCGGCACGCATCAAGGACATCAAGATGGTGGTAAACTGCAATGTGCAGGCCCAGGGTGGGTTTTTTCCTCCCTGT